CAGGCATCCAGGCATCACAATTTCTCTCTCTGCATGACATAGAAACTTCCATGTCACTAGAGGATTTCACAATCCATATACAAATCCCCTGAAGACTTCTAGGTGTAAAGGAAGCATCACTGGACACAACACTGAAAATGGCAATAGGCCAGGCATGGTGGCTCATGCCTGTAATCCCAGAACTTTGGGAGGCTGAGGCGGGAGGATCACCTGAGGTCAGGAGTTTGAGACTAGCCTGGCCAACATGGTGAAACCCCGTTTCTACTAAAAATACAAAAATTAGGTGTGGTGGTGCATGCCTGTAGTCCCAGCTACCAGGGATGAGGAGGCAGGAGAACTGCTTGAACCCTGGAGGCAGAGGTTGCGGTGAGCCAAGATCGCACCACTGCATTCCAGCCTGGGCAACAGAGTGAGACTCTGTCTCAAAAAAAAACAGGCAACAAAAGCCCTAGATAGATAGGGTTTTGTTTTTTTTTTTTAGGTGAGCTATAACATCTGGGCAAATAAAAACACTATGTTATTCCTAGAAAAATGATATAAATCTAACTTAACCTTGTCAACATGGGGATTCATTATGTTATTCAGCAAACTAAAGGAACAGTAAGAATATAACTGCATCTCAGGTACAACTGGAACCAGGGATTTGAATGCAACTAAGACTCCCCACCTTTTATTTTCTCTTCTCTAGATTAGCCCAATTTTTTTACACATTTCCTGTATGAACTATAACTATAGCCATTTCTAGATTAATATCTCTTGTCAGCAAAGCAAGACAGAGTTATTCTCTGGTCATGAAGAAGAGAATTCCAGAAAAGAGCTCTGAGTCAAAGGCCAAAATCCTGGCATATCTGGTGCTGTGCAGAGCTGAGAGACTGACTGAAGAGTGTGTCAGCAGTAAGCTATCCTAGGCATAGGGCCTGACCTAGAAATCAGAAACCCTAATGTAGCAGTATTGCATCATCTATAGCCTAGATTATGCTGCAATGATATACAACTCCCGTATCTCACTGGTATAAACCAAAAAGGTTTCTTTTTCATGCTACCTGTTCATCAGGAGTTGCTGAGGGGGTCACTTGGAGTCACTTGGAGATCCAGGCTTGCCAAGCAGCCACTGTTTTCAGCACCAGCTATTGCCCTGCTAGTGGGCAAAGAGGGAGCTCTGGAAGAACATAAACCCGCAGTTAAATTCCCAGTCCAGAAGAACTACACATCAGCCCTGCTAATACCTCATTACAGGGCACAGATGATGACAATAATGACCTCTCAGGCTTAAGGACCCTTCAACTCTGAGAGAGGGTATCTAGTGGTCACTCAGTTGCTATCCTGTCTTTCCCTCAGGTGGAAGTGGGTGTGGTTTCCAACACCCCTAGCTATGTCCTCTGTCCGTGACAAAATCTTTGTAATCAAAACTTTGAAGTATTTTGGAGTTCACAAGGGTATTTGTTTGCTGTTAAGACTCTTGCTCTCACTCCTACCTGACAAGAGATAATTTGTATAGACTATTAGACATGTGATTATTTTTTTAAAGCACTAGGTATTTGGGGCAGGTCAACATGTTTCCCTATCAGAAATCACTCATAGATATGTTCTTTGAGGTCATGAATTCTATGAAATAAAAAAAAAAGAAAGTTATTGAGCCTCTCTTGGATGCCAGCACCATGCTCAGTACTTTCCTTTTTTTCAGTATACTCACATTACTGATTATCCTTCATTTTAGTTATGATCAAAGCAAGAGTTGAAGGAATGTCCTTGGTTTAAGGCTACACCCTAGGAGGCAGAGTCAGAATTTAAATCCAGCTTTCTTTCATTTGAAAGACTGTGCTCTGTGCTGGACGACACTGTACAGTTTTTAAAGTGATCTAACAACGACAGCATCCATCAGTGAACTTTGAGTTTACCAAACAGGAAATTGCTTTTAATGGGTTCATCTAATGGCAGGGCTAGCTCAAGGCAAAATTTTTTGCCTCCTCTCCCTCTTTTTCATTCGATACGATTCTGCTCTATCATCCAGGCTGGACTGCAGTGGCATGGTCACAGCTCACTGCAGCCTCAAACCCCTGGCTCAAGTGATCCTCCCTCCTCATCTTCCCGAGTACCTGGGACTATGGGCACATGCCAACACATCTGCTGTTTAAAATTTTTTGTAAGGATGGGGTCTATGTTCCCTAAGGTGGTCTCAAACTCCTAGCCTCAAGCAATCCTCCTGCCTCAATCTTCTGAAGTGCTGGGATTATAGGTATGAGCCACCATGCCCAGTCCCCTTCTCCCTCATTAAAATATTTTTTTAAATTTTTTTTCACTATTCAACTTCTATTTTAGGTTCAAGGAGTAGATGTGCAGGTTTGTTATATAGGTAAACTACAATGCCATGGGGGTTTTGTATACAGATAATTTTGTCGCCCAGGTCATCAGCATAATACCCAAAAGGTAGTTTTTCAGTCTTTACCCTCCTTTCGCCCTCCACCCTCAGGTAGGTCCTGGTGTCTATTGCTCCCTTATGTCCATGTGTACTCAATGTTTAGCTCCCATTTAAAAGTGACAACATACAGTATTTGGTTTTCTGTTCCTGCATTAATTGTCTTAAGATAATGGCCTCCAGCTCCATCCATGTTGCTGCAAAGGACATTATCTCATTCTTTATAGTTGTGTAGTATTCTATTCCATGGTGTATACACACATTTTCTTTCTTTTTTTTTTT